ATTGATTTTTATTAAATTAAATTAAATTATAGAAGTTCATTATGTTTTGGATTGACAAATTGAGCCAATGTTATATGAGCTATTAAATCAAATAAAAAATGTGATGCCCATTTAAATTAAAGTGATTTAATTGATTTGTTAATTCACAATTGACTATTTGGGTCGGCCGACTATTTAACTCCAAGTTAAATGGGTTTCTTAAGGTACAAGTTACCCAAACGCAAGATGGTTTTGAAGGATTCTCTTGAAGACATAGCTTGCATATGTTGACTCTAAATAAAGGTCTTCCCTCAAGGCAAAAATACATTAAAATTCCTAAATTTCAAAGTAACTTTGTCAAATTCTCTTGAGAGCTTTTTCCCTCAAATTCAAATCCAAATCCAAATTAAGTTAAATAAATCCTCCTTCCATCGGCGTTGAAGATTTAAAGATTCAAATATTAACGTCATCATCAAAGCAGCCGTTTTTTACATAGAAATCATAGAAAACACCCTCTTGATCGGAGAACAAGCCTTTTTGGCCTTCCGATTAAAGCCTTTTGAAGATAAAAATTAGGAGATTAATTTCTTTGATTCAAAAATTTTCAAATATTGTAACCCTCTTGTTATTTAATTTAATAAATTTGATATTTATGTAAGTTTTCTTGTCTTTTATTTTAGACAACAAAATTTGTGCTTACACATGCATTGGACACACCAAATCATCCAAATTTTCACAGGCCCAAAACGCCAATGGCCTCTTAGGGCCCTTTTAATGAAAATCGGATGAATTGCCGAGCGCAAAATCAGTTGAGTCACTGGCTTCAAAAAAGCAATTGTGTAGTTTTATTTTTCCACTCTCGCTATGTGCAAGGTGGCCCGTGGCCCTGATTTGTTCTGGATTAAAACTAAAACATACATGAGGTTTGTAGCTAGGTATGAAGTAATAGTAGTAAGTATCTATAATACAAAAATCAATTTGCTTAAAGATAGCATTTAAAAATCCTCGCTTAAACAAATTGGATGATGACATTCAAGAAACTTTTATAATTAAGGAGGTCTTGCTGATCATGGCCAATATTTTCGTTACACATTTGAAAAGAAAATTTGGTAACATTTATATTCTTATTAATCATGAGAAAATCAGCTTTATAAAGGGAATCTTCCCCTACTACATCATCAATCATCTCTACTGATCTAAGCGATCATTGTACCCATCCTAAGATACTCAGCATCCCAAAAAGAATTTCTGTATAGTTACTCAACTGCACAAGCAATCCGGATGAAATCCCCTGCAACCGTTTCTGAAAGTTCATGACAAAAATTTGGCCAAAAGAAAATTTATGGACTATTTTGATTTTAGCAAAATAATTTATGGAATAAATTGGTGTTTTGCTCTTTATCATTTCTCAATCTTTCACAAATGAACATTAGATGATACTAAAGGTGTCAAAATGGGTGACTTGGGCGGGTTTGAGTTGGGTAAAATGGGTAATGGGTATAAGTGAGTCAACTCATTTATACCCATTTAATTATATGGGTATAAATAGGCAAGTCAAAAAATGAATTGGGTAACCCAATTACCCATTTATAACCCATTTATTTTAACTTTTTGCAAACTCATTTAAATTCATTTTTGCAAACTAAGTTATCAATTTATATCACTCTTTATACCCATCATTAGTTTTAAATATTTACTTATAATGTTCAATAAACTTAATTACCAATTTTTTTTCATTTATACTCTATGTCACAAAATTACCTATTATTTAATAATTGAATAATAAGAATATAAAATTTTGAACTAAGTACTATAAAAATTAATATAAAAACTTAATCCAAAATTTTTGAACCCCTAACATTTTTTTCATATATAAATTTAAAATTTCATTTTATAAAGATAAGAAAATAGGCTAAAATTTATCATAAATTGGTAATGGTAAAAAATGAGTAAGTTAACAAACTAAGAGAAAATAAAATAATAAGATAAAACCAACAAATAATAATAATAAAACAAAAGTAGTTAACATCATGACAAAATGAAAAATTTGAAAAAAAAAAAGGTGGGGGAAAAGAAGAGACTTGAGGGGAAGAGAATTCTAAATGGGTTAATTGGGTTTGATGGGTTACCCATTTAAATGGGTATTATTGGGTAACCCATTTATACTCATATACAAAAATTTAAGATATCCATACCCATCTATTCATGGGCGGATATGGGTAAATTTAGTTAAGTGGGTTGATTTGCCACCTCTAGATGATACCAAAATATTAGAACTCACCTAACATCAAGACATTCCACGGACTGGAGGTAATTTATCTATGTAAACAATATGAATTTTCCTTTTTCAATGGAAAGACTTGGCAGCAACCGAGAGAGAGAGAGAGAGAGAGAGAGAGTGTGTGTGTGTGTGTGTGTGTGTGCGTGTGTTATTGGTCAATTTTCATTAATTGTCTTGGCATGTAAGAAAAATATATACTGTCGAGATGGCCCCAGAACTGTTCTTGGACAAATGACAAAAGTGACTTTTTTTTTTTTTTGGAAAAAGAGTTCCAATGGCCCTCCAACTCCTTTCCAGATAAAGTTTTAACCCTCTAACAATTAACGGTAAAATTTTGACTCTGGATCTAATAAAATAGAATATTCGTGGCGCTTCTGTCAAACCCAACAGTTAATTTTGATGGAAAGCATTATCTTGCGAGATGCGCAGTCAAATAATAAGGGCATTATAGTCTTTGAACAAAAAAAAAGTAAAAACAGAAGGCAAGTGCCTATTCATTATAGTCTCGCAAGGCCGGGTTGCTTCCCCGGCGAAGACTTGAAGAGTAAAATAGAGACGGATCGCTGTCCTAGTGTTTTGGTAACTAGTTGTTGATAGAAATTTCCAAAAGTGGCGGTTGGAGAATTAATTTCTTAAAAAATCCCTAAATTGCTTCCCAATTCTTTAGCCAAGTTAATTCTCTCTTATGCATTCTCTCTTCTACTTCTTGGTATTAAGCATTCACAGTAAGCTCAAAACCACTCCTTACGAGTGTACACGAATGAGGTTTGACAAGCATGGGTATACATACAACAATAATTTGGTCAGTCAACCAAGGAGGCCAAGAAAACATGACAGGATGGAGGAAAAAAATTTATTCAGGTATACAAATTGTTAAATAATGGAATATTATAAAGATCTGATTGATGGTGAAAAATTTTCCATATTGACTCCTATAAACACAAATAGACATACATATTTTGGCTGAATTTTAACAGTGGAAAAATATCTCAAACAATGTAATTTGGATGATATTCTTTGTTGGGTTGATGCAAGTAAGTTGGCAAAACATGTTTTTAAGAAAAAAAGCACAATTATTCTTTCAAGTGATGTGTAAAATAATGGCAGAAAGTATTTATAAAACCTTTATTGGTCATACTAAAATACTTTAGAGATTTTGGAAGGATATTTACTTTGTTTTGCACACGATTGAGAGAAATTATGCTTTCAAACCGAAGTCTAGTTGTTGGTATTGGTTTGTGGATTTTAAAAATGATAGATTTGTTGATAATATGGGTGATATCGAAAATTTTGAATCAATTGATAGTTTTGATTTGCGTACCTTGTTTGGAGAAATTAGAAGTAATGAATTTGTTGAAACAATAATATGGTAATTTGACAAAAGAAGAAGAAAATTTTGACTTGATAAGAGAAGAGATCATGAAATTGTTGTTGAAAAATTCGTTGGTTCGGACTTTCTTCAAAGTGATGGGAGAATGCTTGATTTGATAGATATGGATGTCATTATAGTTGAAAAATATTTTACTCCAAAAGAGTTGACTGACAGTATGAAAATTTTGGATGATTGTAGTAGTGGCTATTTTAAATTATTTGGTTATGATAATTTTAGCGAGAAAGCAAGCAATGATTTTGTATTTTTAGGAACTTACATTGGTGGTAAATATGATGATTCTGGTGATGAATGGGTTTGTATAAATGAGTACTTTGATCAAGAAGAAATTGTTGAGAAATTTTTTACAAAATACATAGTACGTCCACTGTTACGTGTAAAGATGAAATTAATAACTGGTAACAAGTTAGAGTTTCATGTCAAGTATACTACAACATAGATTTGCATAGAAATTGTTACTCGAGATGGTGTTGAACATATCTCAATGGATAGTTTGGTTTAAGGGAGGCAATGTTAACAAATTAAACTAAGCCAAGAAAAATTTATTTATTTTTTAGTTTTATTTGAGTTATGTTTTTAGTAGTTGTGTGATTTAGGAATTTCTGTTTTATTTGGTAATTTCTTATGCAAGTGGTTTCTTTCCTAACAAGTTTGGTAGATTATAAATAGAACATTATTTAGGTTGGTTTCTCAAGAGAAAGAATCTAGAAGAATTTGCAAGATTTTCTATTATGGTGTGACTTTTTTCATTGTTTGAGATTTCAATAATATTGTGTGTTGAATTTATTATTTTCTTCTCTCCCACATATATTTTGAGTGTTTGTTTTATCCTTTTAATTCTTTAACCTTGTATGCTTTGATTATTATTAAAACCAACTGAATTTATTAAGGTATGATTTTTTTCATTGTTTGAAATTTCAATAATTTTGTGAGTTGAATTTATTATTTTCTTTTCTTCCACATTTATTTGAGTATTTGTTTTATCCCTCCAATTCTGTAACCCTGCACGCATTGATTATTATTAATTGATTATTATTAGATCCTTAAAATTTGGGTTCTACATTTAATATAACATCTAACCGTCACCAAATGTGCTCAACTTAATGGTTCAAACTCCACCATCTCCTTCAAGAATTTCCACTTTTAATAGCCTGTGGCATGATCTTGGGAAGAAGGTGGTCATCAAGGATGGCGGCCTTGAACAACCTTGCAGGAGGCATTGGGGAGGTCATCTCAGCACTACAAGTGATAGGGGCCATGATGCTTTAATTTGTTTTTTCACAAATGGAGAAAGATCAAGAACAGGAGGGTTTGATGGATCTTGAAAAGATTTTGCGGTGCAAAGAGTGGTGAGCAATAAGTGTATTTATAGACTACTGACAGTCATGAATTCATATCTAAAAACAGCAAATGAATTATTTTATTCTCTTGCTGCGAATAACTTAACCAAACAGCTTAAGCAAACCAAGCAAAAAAGGAAACAGACACCCTCAGTTTATACTTCAATCTTGAAGAAAATATGTCGAAGAGTCCTTGCAGTAGCATTCATTATAATTAGTTGTAGGCAGTAGGATTTGCATGGAGGTATGCCTCAACAGCCTTAACCATTCCCAAACCCATCTCTTTTCCTCCCTTGAGGTGTTCCTCACTGATCTGAGCACCACCTTTGGGGTAGTATGTGTTAGTGGTTTTGCAGATTGAACCTCCATCAGCAGAGGGTTCAAATTTGATGACACAACAGATTTTCTCGATTACATCGTTAAATCCATCAGCTTCAAGTACAGTATAGCTGTATGTAAATTTTTCTTTGTCAATTCCATCAACTCTCTGTTTGGCAGTCTTATGCTCGCCACCTAAATATTTAACCCAACCAAAAAAAAAAAGTCATTAGTTTTTCCCAAATAAAAGGGAAAAAAAGAGAAAAATTTGAAGACTTCAAATGTGTGAAAATAATCACTTTGTATTGATTATCTTACCGTCAACAAATGTGGTCAACTTAATTGTGCCAACTCCACCATCTCCTTCAAGGATTTCGACACTCTTAACGCCCTGTGGCAAGATCTTGTGAAGATGCTTCTCTTCGAGGATGGTGGCCTTGAACAACCTTGCAGGAGGGATTGAGGAGGTGACCTCATAACTGGAAGTGACAGGGGCCATTTGTTTCTTGGAAATGAACTAGAAGGAAAAAGAGGGATTTCAAGAAGGTTTTGGCTGTTCTTGAAGGAATTATGTGGTGCTAGGAGCGGTGAGGAACAAGAGTATTTATAGACTACCGAAATTATTATTTAATAGCAAGCAAAATTAGCTATCCTCTAAAGTCATGGTAAAAGATAGTAATATATATATATACGCAATCGACAGGAAAGTCGACAACTGAGATGGACGGTTGTTTACTTTGAATAAGGTGAACTTTGGCTCCTTGTACCCCGACCTAGAATTCTCGCACAGACTCCCCTCCCCACATCCCACGACGGGGGCACGCCAAAAAAGAAAAAAAGGACTAGTAATACCATTTTTTTTTAGGGTAGGACTAGTAATGCGTCACACCCGAAATTCTTTAGTCACATAGAAGAATCTAACCAATTTCAAGGGAATCCCTCCAACTGTACCTTATGGCTGCTAAAAGAATTTAAGGCAATTAACTTTTTGACCCTCTAGCTAGCTATTAAATGTATAATGTTGATTCCTAAACTTATAAAAGTGCATGCTTTAATTAGGGATACAAACGTGTCTAATTAAATCGAATACCCTAATATTCAAACGTGTTTAATTATTTTAATGAGTTTAAAATTTTGTTCAAACTTGATTTGTTTATTTACTAAACCGAGTTTAAACAGACTTTTTTATCAAGTTTCAAAGTTATCGACTATAAAATGTTGTTCAAATTTGATTTGAGAATAGATTGTGCAATTTCATTAAAATTTGAGAATAGATTAATAGTGGTTAGTTAGTTGTCGGTTAATGGTGCTTTATGGTCATTGACGGACGGCTGGAGTTGCAGGAATCACCAGAAAGGGTTGGAAGAAGAATATTAAAGTTATGCCCTATTGATAATAATCAATTAGGATAAACGGTTTCGTCAAATTTGGTGGGCAACCTTTCACATTTAATAGTTAGGGGGACAGAAAAGAAATATCAATATGGATAAACTATGAAGCAGAGGCACCCCTTCTGGGCCCTCTCATTGGAAAACGGGCCAGTCAGTAAAAGGATAAGATGGCACCTTTGTCGGGTTTGGACCAGGGACGGTCATCAGGTAAACCGTTTCTGAGCAGTTCACGGTCAAGATTTGATTAAAAAAAATTATATGGTCCAAATTTCATCTTGTACCTTATTTTTAATAAAATGTGTGAGACTTACAAAATTTTGTTTTAAAATTACACGTTGTAAAAAGTAAATTACACTATATACAAACAGAATTATGCCGTGTGTAAAATGCACGCAACCTTCAGGATTTCCTGCCCGTGATCCCACTTTTGTCACTATCCGTGTACATTTTGCTATTTTCATCATCAGTTGTGAAAATTAAAGTACATTTTAAACTTCTTCTTCTCTAAGATTAAATTCAAAAAATTTTAAAATTCTTCTTCTCTAAAATTAAATTCAAAAAGTTTTTATTATTTTTTCTAAAAGATTGTTTTGAAAAATTAAAAGGGTTAAGTGCACTTTCATGCACCATCTATTTCGGTGGTTCGTGTGTTCTTCAGGCGAGAAGAAGCCAATGCTAAGTACAGAAATATTGATACATGACGGGGTCTGCGGGTGCTGAGATGATCTTATCCCCAAAAAAAAAAAAAAAAAAAAGAGCCAGGCCGAACTACAGTTTGCAGATAAACCTTTTTATTTTTATTTTTTTTTACCCTTGTTGCCAAATTGTGTACAAATATAGCACAAGGAAATCAGGATTAGTTATAACGTTTAATTTCAATATTTCCTAAGAACAGAAAGACAGGAGTTGAGGTTAAGAACACTAACCTGAGGTCCCCTAAGGGCATGGGCACCTTTAGTGCGTGGACTTCCTTGGAAATTTGCAAATGTTGTTGCTGACATGGTAGTGAAGTGAAGGTGCTGAAGTTTGTTACCTGTGGTAGGCATGAGTTGTTTTTACTTTAATGCCCTTTTTTGGCAAGACAGTGACATGGTTGATTTAGGTGTCTATTGTTTAAGTGCCAAGCAAATTTGCATGCATTGTTTAAGCCATTTAGTGCTTTCTTTGTTGGCACTCTCTTGGCCAGTTGATTGTGAATTTCTTGTCTTTCTCACATGAGCTGCCAATTGAAAATACTATGATAATGTCGAGTTGGAGAATACTTCATTTTTCTATGAAACTAAAAAATAATAATGACATGATGTCGACATTATTTTCAAGTTCCAAGTTTGATAATTAACCTGGAATGACTCTCATAATTGTACCATTATCAAATAATAAGGTCCAAAATTATTCTTCTGAATTTTTACAAGCATTTTGGACAAAAGTCGTGTCCAGGTTTGATGTCTCGAGTTTGAGGCATAGTCAGAGTCAATTAAAAAGAAAAAATGTCAAAAATCCATGTATCTGTGCATTGCAATCATAATACAATAACCCCAATAATACTAATGAATAAAGACAAAGAAAAGGAAATTCACATTTCATAAAACTGCGTTTAACTAAGAATTTTTCTTAACCATGACTTAGAGGGAACTCATCATATATATAAACAATCTAATTTTTCTTTCTAAATGGTAAGAATTGGCATCAGTCCTAAGAATTGAAAGAAAGAGAGAGACAGAGAGATTTGGGTCAACTTTCATTAATAGTCATGTAAGAAAAATGTTAGCGCCCAAGAATTGTTCTTTGGATAGTGATATGAAATGACCTTAATTCTTCTTTGGATAGTGATATGAAATGACCTTAAATAAGTTAGTAGAGGTCAATAAACATATAGTCCAATAACTCTCTTATTTAAGTAATGTTGTAAAGCTAAAAAAAAATAACTACTGTGATAGGAATTGAAATATTAGAGAAAGAAGTACAGAAATGGAGAATGATTTTTTTATTATTCCAACTAATCAAAAAGTACACCCAAGAGGTGCTAAGGTACATCTATATATAGGTACTACAAAATTAAAGGTACATCAATTCTATTAAACACTCGTTACTACAAGAACATGAATAGCCATATGAAATGGTTCATCCAATACATGAATAGCTCTTATGGATTGAAACCGATCATCCAATGTAATTCCTTTACATAATGTAGCAAAAAATTGACAGGTGCCGAACCTGTGCAATAATAAATACCTGCTCAAATAAAATACAAATTCTGTATATAGCGGTGAGCAGGGTCGAATCCACAGGGACTGGGGATAATTTAATTTCTTCTCAAGTTCCAGATATGGGGGGTTTTTGAAAATGAGAGTAACTAAATTACTTGGAATAAATAAAATAAAATAACTACAACTCAAATAACTAATTATCACAATAAAAATAATAATTGACGAACTCTAGCCAAGAGACAACTTCGGAGATGGTTCACTTAATTCGATCACAGATGCAAGGATTATTCCAGTTACTATCTGATAAATTAGTTATAGTTGCCATACACGCGATAAACAACCAACTCTTCCTCAATTTGTCGATAGCCAAGGTACGACCGTTGACTATTTCTCTAATCAGGAAATAACCCTAGGTACGACCATAGAAGTTCAATTCCCTAATTGCATGAATAATTAGAAGAGCCTAATTCTAACCAATCAACACGCTACGAGGGTCTCTTTAAGTTAGCATGTTTATCCCCCTGACACAAACCCAATCATGCCAGTTGCCAGCAGTTTAGAATAATTAAACAATTACGGATTTAACTATCCTAATTGGCTTCAGGTTATTGAATTAATCTAGTATCCGGGCCCTGGATAATCGAATAATAAAACAACCATATGAACATAAAGCAGAAGATAGACAAATACCAGTGAATAATGGAAATAAATAAAAACTAATTCGATCTCACAAATTTAGGCCAACCAAGACCTCCGTTGTTCCTTGACTAGAAAAGAAAAATTAGTTCATTCCTGGTGAACGAATCCCACACAAAGTTGGAGAGGAAGCCGCAGCCATTGCCCTTGACCAAGGGAGCTCAGTTCGCTCAGTTGATGGAAGAATACAGAAAGTGACCGAGACCTTCAATTGCTCCTGACATGCGCAGGAGACATCCACCCAAGACTCAAGGGAAAGTCAAAAGGAAACTATGCTAAAGGTCCTACGTACGAGGAAGGTAAAACAACTACTAAGAACTAAAAGGGAAGAAAAGTCAACAAAGGCAACTCCCTGGTGCTAGTGCTCATTCTCTGTCATATATCAATTGCTCCTATTCTAATGGCTGCTGTGTGCGGCAGCCCCCTTGCGGAGAGGACGGAGCCTCCGAAGGAAGAAGAAGCTCCCTTTGTGCGGCGCTCCAGCCTCCAGTAAAATAGAGGCCTCTGCCCTGCTCTCTTCTTTTGAAATTACCAAAATGGGCAAAAGTCTTCCTTTGCCAATAATGCCCCCGGGATAAGCTCTGTGCCTTGGACTCTTTTTTTGTCAAATTAGCACCTGTTATTATATTTTCGCTCTACTCCCTGAAATAAATGCAAAATACTAAAAGTGAGTAGAATCCCGCAATTAATCCACATCAAGTCAGGTAATAGGAGAAATTAATTATAAAATAAATGATAAAATTGCAACCTATCAGCTAAGGTACATCTATATATAGGTACTACAAAATTAAAGGTACATCAATTCTATTAAACACTCGTTACTACAAGAACATGAATAGCCATATGAAATGGTTCATCCAATACATGAATAGCTCTTATGGATTGAAACCGATCATCCAATGTAATTCCTTTACATAATGTAGCAATAAATTATGAATTAATTCTCTTGGGAGCAATGAATTATGAATTGATCTTCTTGAGAATACAAATGGACATCCACACTTTTAGTTATTTCATAACACTCCCCATTGGATATTAATTACACAAAGAATATGTCTTATTAAAACCTTACTAGGAAAAAATCCAACGGGACAAAAACTCTAGTGAAAAAAAAAGAGTACACTATTCTTGTGTATTGATTTCTCCCCCTGATGCAAATATCATTTGAGATTTTATAGTCGTCGCATTCCAATATTCTTCACCAATTTCTCAAATATTGCAGTCGGCAATACATTAGTAAATAAATCTATCAAATTATTATCTGATCGGATTTGTTGCACAACAATTTCACCATTCTTT